ACCTAATGGACAGCATATTGCTGATTAAAATCAGAAGCATTAAAACATATCAGTAGATTTTTGGCGTCGAGTAGAGGATGAAGAATGATTTGTAAGATTTATATCTGTTAATTAAACATGTTTTTCAGCTCATATACGTTCCTCTGAACAGGATTCTAATTAGCTTACACACGACACATGCATGCACGCAATATACTTTTATATTATAGATCCAATATTTTAATAAAATCGCAATTCTATTTAATAAAATTGTACTAAAAACAATTAATTAAATTATGTTTGGTACCCTAGTTTCTCTAACAATACGTAAATGTAAACGGTTACATATAAACTAATAGATTTAATAGATAAATGTAATTATTATGTTAGCAATTATTATGTATTAGTTCAATCTAAATTTTCGTAGAATTGTAATCAAGATCTTCAGCGGGAGTGGGTGAGTATGCTAAAGTTACAGGCTTTACATTCTTGAAATCCTCACCGTCCTTGATTGTTTCTGGGAGAGGGCGGTTCAAAGTTTCGGACAACAACAAAGCAACTAAACCTGAAAACAGCGACAACGTAGCAAATAGCACCATCGGTATCCACGTAATGGATCTTCCCTGTGAATAACAAACGACAGAAGAAAATAAATATAATTGCGATGTAATGTCAATATGGAGAGCATGTTCCCCCTTGTTGGGTGATCTCATTGGATCCTCTCCTATTATAAGTAAGGGATAAAAACGATTTAAATAGCATTTGACCACCCACCCACAGACTCACTCTAAGCCACTTACGACTACTATTTTATCTAATAATTACTTGTACATATAATGATGATAAACAAATAATAATAGTAATACAGCAAACATATCCATGTTAATAAACACGTTTTGTAATATTATTTTAGTAATAAAATATCAAATCACTATTCCAAAAAATTCCATATTTTTCTTCCCATTCATTGGAACTAGGCATACACACACTAAATGGTTTTAAAGGTCTGGGAAGTGTGTTTAGCCACGAGAAAAATCATGGTGGTGTCATTATAACATTCACGACATTTGTGTGGAGCCCTATATTCAGACTTAGCAAATTTTATTTGACATCATGACCATATATAGACACAAAAAAATGATAATCTGGACAGAGCTTTGGTTTATGATAGCAAATAACTTAACACAACGTTGCAGCAATGTTCAGAACGGTCAGAACTCAGAAATCATGATGTCTTTATCTTACCGTGTACATAATGTAAGGCGCGCACATACCACCAATTCGCGCCATTGTAGAACATTCCCCGAGTCCAATATTCCTGTAATATCAGAAAAAAATTTCCCTCTTAAAACAAAACATCTCGAGTAGAGAAGCACTGAATACAGCCCAAGTCATACACAATTGTATGCCCTACTGATGATGCCAATTGCATTCTGTAGGCGTACACATGTTGATTACAGAGATTCAGCATCTTTCCTATCCTGAGAAAAAATACTAAATACACCATCATTACAGGAGACATCGAGCAGATATAATTCAGGTTTTTAAAGGGTATTGAATATTGTCAGATTGATAAGCTTTTTGATATATATCTTGGTTCTAGAACTCGTGGTCATCCACTCAAGAACAAAGTTGCGTAAAAATGCTTTTTCTTTGCCCGAAGAACCTGTTGCTGCCTCTACAATTAACCACTTCAAGTGTATTCTTGATAAGTACAATCCGCTCAAAATATGCTCCTTATCAACAGATTGACCTGATAGCATATTAGCATCGTTTTTTAGTGGTCTCTATTTCCAGGATAAAAATCCTGGAATTCAGTATATTCAGTAGTATATTGTTTTACCCAACATAATATAAATATTAAGTAACAGATAAGTAATTGCCATAAATCAGTATTGGTCACATTGATTTATAAAGTTTAGACAACAAACAAATGAGATTATAAAGTTGATAATATTCACACAAAAGCTAGCAGAAGGCTGCATATATTAGGTCGCTTAACGGGAAAACACCATATAAGTTTTTTTTTTAACTTCAGATTCCTCCATTTCTTGCTACTTACTTAGAAGACATGAAATGTATAATTTTATTTTGTTTATTGCTGGAAACAAAGTTTATTGTATTATTGTATTGTAAAATGTTACTTAATATTTTCACTATTTCCGGCCAATTAACGATCTTTTGCAAACCCAGTTTGGAAATCTGGTCTATCTACTAAATCTGTATATCCACTAAACTAACATTAATTTATTTGTACATAATTTTTCACCATATTGTATCAATTTTATTGTTTTTATTAAATTTATTGAACTATTGATTTATTATCTTGTTCAATCTTTACTTATTTTATTTAATACATTAATACCTAGTTTTTAATACTATTCATGCATTTTATCAATATTTTGAGTGTTGTCTAATTCTGTATTGTTTGTATTCAGGTTAGTTGCATTTTATCGTACGTTTTGTATTTCTGTTTGATTGTGCTTTGCATTTAGTAATTTTAATAGTATTATTTTATTAATTCTTAACATCAAAGTAATTAAGTTTTTGCTGCAAAATATATTAATAATATACTTGAATACTATCCATGTTAAAAACGATTGTGGTGATACAGATAACAGTTATGATTATAATAATAACAACGAATGTAATGCTGAAAATTAGTGAGACAATACTTATAGTTATATTAGTATATATAATCTTTATTTTATGATTATATTTTACAGGATAGTAATGATGACGATAACAATGAAGGAGATGACGATCATGATGATTGTGATAAAAATGATGAAAAGATGATGAAAAAGAATAAGATGATGATGATTATGATTATGATGATGATGAAGATAATGATGATGGTGGTGGTGATAATGATGATGATGATAATAATAAATTTACCTGATAACTGTCGGGTATATTTCAGAAGTATATACCCAGACAAGTGCGAAAGTAACCGTTATGCAGCATTTTCCGATGAAAGCAACAGCAATAATTAGTATTGTGAGATCTTTACCGTCATCTAAGGAAAATCAATATCGGGGAGAAGAAAGCAAAAATTAAAAGTAGAAAGAATAGAGTTGACATTGTAGTTATTAACCTCTAAAATATTTTCTATTATCATTTTAAAATAATGTCTAATTTGTTTCTGTACCCTAACTGTATGTCTAAAAGTGTTTACAGAAAAAAAAATCGAATTATGTTATTAACAATACCAATTCTATATAATGGTTATCATGATAAAATCCCTTTGGTTTTGATCAATATTAGCAATGGTGGTGGTGGTAGTAGTAGTAATAATGGAAACATAAAATATCACCAGTTTCTTGAGGAATAGCTGTTGTCAAAACGCACCCAACAGAAGCAATAACGTGGAATACTAGAGCCAATCTTCTGCGAGCAAATCTGTACCAAGTAAAACAACATAAACTTCAACCAACTCAAAATAGAGAGGAATATTCAAAAACGTTTAGTATTATCAGTATTACCATTATGGCCATTATATTTCATCAACTTCATTTTCATCATCTTTATCGTCAACATAATTCTCATTCTTCTCATCACCATCATCATCATAATCATCTTCATCCGTCCCATCATCAGCTAAGAATCATCAAAATTCTCACAAAAATATCAAAATACATAGAAAAAATATTCTCATATCAATATTAAGATTAAAATTATTATAATTATCATGTTTCAATGCACTGTAATTAATTAGAGAGTAGGCCTTGGTAGTTTTCGCCGCACGACGTTAACCTTAACTATAACGTTAGTACCCAACATGCAGCGCGATACCTCCGCCCCCTTTTGTAAATAAATCGAAATACGCATGCGAAAACCGTAACTAACGTACGTCGAGCACCTAAAATCCTGAAATTAACGTACTCCGCACCGCAAGATGAATAAATTATGAAGTCATCCGTTATCGTTAAAGGTAACGTTGTGCAGCGAAAACTGCCTAATAGCAGACGCAAGGTATTGTGCCCTCTCACTATTAATATTACTTTTCATCTTTGACATCTATGATCGCGCAAATGCTGGAAATAACTAGGACGCCCTCTTTTAATTACAAGTACTTTCTGCGCAAATGGACGCTTCTACAGTACTTTGTTACTCGTAAAACTTTGTTACTCGTATAAAATCTTTGATAAATTTATAAACTTGCATACCTTGGCAATGCCCACAAAGTAAATAGATGGGCTGCTACATCTGCTACGCCAATGATAAAGAAATTCACGAAACGATTTCCAGCCAAAGAAGATGAATTAAGAGATAATCCGTAGTACACCAAACTGTTCACAAACCTTAATAAAAGTAGTTTAAACAAGTTTTTATGTCGACTCAAAATGAAATTGTCAACATTGCTTCACAAATTCAGAGCCGAAGAGGACAGCCATAATTGGCTATGAAAAAAAAATCATATTAGTGCTCACAGATATACAGTACACAAATGATTGAATAAATACCTATCCGTAATAAATATCGCGGGTTCATTATTAGCGATTTTGTAGACACGAACGCCAAATCTAGGAAAACATTCAAATACAGTATTCCCAAGCCTCTCTTGGAGTTTCGATACTGAATAACCGATCTCCAATGGATTAACAACAACTACAAATAATTAGCATCGGCGCTGATTTCAAACTACTCCTCACCGAGAGTTCGGTTTGTAGAACCAAGTCTTTTCAGATAAGGACTTAAATTGGAGGTCCAGTGTACACATCTGGCTTGTGTGCGCTTTAAAAACCCAATCGCATCTTTCGGAAGAGTGGGGGTCACGAGGTAATAATAAAGTAGGTTTAATAATAAAAATATATATAATTTTGGTTTGAAAAACGTAGTATAAATGACTGTCTTACCACATGTAACTTAAAACTATAGTAACAATACGCAACCGTGAAGTACGTACTGTATCCATAAAAGTGTAAGTTCGTTTTGATTTCAGCTGAATTACATCGTTAGTCTCTTCATCTGAGATATTAGGCTTTGTTCCGGGGACTCTAACTGAACAATTAACTTTCTTTGTGTTTTCGTTTGGTTTACATTCATCTTGATCCTCGTTTATGAAATCTGGGTCAACTCCGTTGAATTTAGCCATCTTCACAAGTACCTTTTTTAGATCACTCATTCGACCCTGCGATTGAAGCCATCTTGGAGACTCAACAACAAACCTTAAATACAACATAATAAAATTATAACAACATGCAGTAACACAGTATATTGGCCTCATTGAATATACATACATATATATCTGGAATGTTTGGACTAGTGTTTTTGTTTTTTCTCTATATTTTTTTTTTTAATAAATGGCGTTCAAAGCAGTTCTATAACGACTTAAGCACCGTGAGTGTATGATTATTATTATTTTTTTTTTACTTACATTAATAATAATAATAATAATAATAATAATAAAAGGTAAACTAAGTACCACAAAGGCATAACAGTAACTTAAATTATTTATTGCTTAGCGCACACACTCTGGTTACCACCAATTTGAACGACTGAGTTAATCTTTGAGCTATTAGCTCTTTTCTCATAGTGGATTGTAATTTGTAATATCTGTTATTAATGTATATTGATTTAATTTGAAAACAAAGAAGCAATATACTTCATACCACCAACCAGGCAAGAAGAGAATTACAGGAAACGTAATAGCAAGTTGGAAATAGCGCCAATTTTGAAAGAGGTAGCCGATAGGTGCAAGTAAGCAAAGGCCTGTTCCCCAAAAGACTGGCGAAATACAGGATGCCGTTGATCTTTGCTCAGGCGGAAACAGCTCAAGTATTAAAATGAAGATGGATGAAAACGTAGCCTGAAATTCGAATATTAACCAAAATTAATTAAAAAATAAATAATTCTAAATATATTACCACAAAATTATCAATCTCACTCTCAATCTGGTCATTTATATAATGCCGTTCTTGACAAATACAAAGCGCTGTCATGTATTGCGAGGTTTAGTAAGAACTGACTTTCAGATTTGATTATATTTTCGTAAATTAAGATGACGTAAAAAGTTACTGGAAACTTAATATAACCAACCATAATAACTGTTTAAGGCACTACAATTCTAAACATTTTGATAATTATTCAATTCTTCCTGAATTTATTCTGAACAGAACTTAATGTATTTTTAATAATTTCATCCAGTAATATTTACAAATGTGAAAAGAATATAAGCATTTAAACAGCATTTAAAAGAAAATATAGAATTATAAATAGAGTTAAGTCAATTTAGGTAAATTGATTAAAATATGGCATAATAAATTCAAGTAATTATTATGGAATATACAGGGATGAAATTAGACAAAAAATTAGTATATCAAGATATCGAAAAATACTATGTCAAAAGGCATACACGATCTATATCTTACCGCCACGCACATTGCTAATATGAACCACATGATTACGAATATTATGTAGCTGTGAGTGAATGCTATCCCGATGCCGACGACGCTCCAACCAACCATTCCAACCCAGGCGACCATCTTGCGTCCAAACATATCTGATAGTTGTCCACTAGATAACGCTCCAAACAAAACGCCGCAGAACATAATGGAGACAGCGTTTGGAGCAAGAATTGCTTTGTCACATACCAAATTCAGCTAAAAAAAGGATAATATAAAATAATAAAATATATAAAATAAAATAATATAAAAATTGTGTTTATATGTTTTTGTTTTACAATTGTACGTTTATTACAAATGACAAATATACAGTATTTTCAGCGTTTCCTTGTGATTGTGAAACTTTTATCTATTTAGATTATTTATTTGCTTAATGTGCTGTCTATATTGTTGAAGCGTTGGCGTATACGGCCACGCACTCATGACAGTGAAGCTCTGCAGGTTAAAGCAAAAACTAAAACTATTTACCCTATCAAGTTTTCACTTGCATATATATATTAGAAAACAAATTGGTTGTGAATTATCTTACACAAAATAAAATATGCTTCTCAAAATAATTTTTATTATGATAAAAAATAACAATAATTTGTTTCAAGTGCTGTTAATAAATATATATTGCAATGTTTTAAAATTAATATTTATTCTATGAAAAATTACATTAAATGAGTAATTGTCTTTAAATTTCTAAAAATAAAATAAGCCATTTCAATTCAATTTACATTATAAGCTTACAAAAATGATATTCAGTCAACAAAGATGGCAAGAGGTCTGACTGTCATGATTTTGCATGCATACATGTACTAAAACGGAAAATAAATTACCACGACAAGATAGGGGGCGCCCTTTTAGAATTCGAATAATTTTAATAATAATAAATAATAATAATTATTATTCATTAATTTTATTTATATATTTATTTCATTTTTATTTTGATTTTTACTTTCATAATAATAATTATTATTATTACTAATATTTTTATTATTATTATTATCATTATTATTATTATTATTATTATTATTATTACATACATCATCACCTTTAGATTGACGACACTCATAGATCATTTGGTGCGTTCATAATGAACCAAAATAAACGAGTTAAGTTTCTTATGTACAAGTACATAAAATATTTAAAAAAAATACATGAAAGACATGAAATTCTAAGGAAATAAATACAAGTAGTACACTGCTGATGAGGCAAGTAGCTCTTCGAAATACATGACAAGGAAATACAATTACATGAATAACATGCTTCATTTGTGTCTCAATGAAGGGCCAACTGAACCACCAATCAACTCTACAATAAAGTACGGGTAAAGAAAATTAATTTGCTACAAATTAATCAGTAATAAAGATACTTAATCTATGACAAGGTATATAATGCTTAAGTTCTTTTTCTCTACGCTCGTTTTCCATAAATTTTACAAAATTTATCAAAGCATTTCATAGCTATCGAAATTCGTTAAGTGTTTAAATATTTTCATTTTAGAAGGACGCCCTCTCGTGGTAGTACAATGCGAGAAGGGGCTCTGTTTCAAGGAAACCCGGACAATCGGACCTCTTCATTCTATACTCTTTTGCAGTACATTTTACCTCAGATACCAATGTCACTGCATTCTTCGATATGTCATACTCCCAGCCTTTCTCGCAGGTTGTTGTTTCATTTAGGTACATGTTTGTTTCGTTATACATGCTACATTTTGAAAACGTTCCGTCCTTCTGAATGGGTATGCTAACGTTAGAAACGGTTTTACATCGATGTTGTGGCTCATACATAATAAACACGGGTGACAGCACTTGCCAACTTGGAAATAATGCTTGCAGTGGAGAAAGTATTATGATGAATAATATTTGGTAGCGCCCAAAACTGCCGATTCGTTTAAAAAACTTGTCTATGTTCATATTTGAAGACATCTGTAAAAAAAAATGTATTGTGGAATCAGAAATTAAACTTAGTCGGTAATGTGTAAGTAATATTGGACCCGTATGTAAATTTGCATAATTGCATAACATTACACAATCAATATTTGACCATTCTGTACATCAATTGACCCTTACTTATATCCTTTATTGTATTAAAATATAATGACGTTATATTCTATCAATTTTGGTAGTAATTTACATTTTTTTTCATGACACAGTAATGCTTTATACTACCCTCATGTGCTCGTAATATGTGACGGTGTTTTTAAAATCACTATTATACCATCAATGATGACGTACAACGTCTAGTAGCCAGACCAAGTGGAAGCGTGTTGCGGAGCGTGTAAGGTGTTGGAAGGTCAGGGGTTCGAAATTCAGGGAACGGAAGAGGTTGTGCATTGTGTGTGACTGATTCTGTCCAGGGGAGAAAAGTGCCTTGGGCATTTATTTTTTCTTTTGTATAGGCCTATGTGCGCTATATAAATCTAATAAAATATTGATCAAAATAATAGGCCTACTAACATAAAGTACATCTTGGATAGGTTGTCGGTGCATGAACCGAAATGATTAACGCGAAACGTCGAAGTGGAAGGTGAATTACTTATCCAAAAATTATTTCTACACCTCAAATTAACAAAACTTTTAATATTGAAGCAGTAATTTGAATGATTTTTTAAAACTACTACTACTATTACTGAAAGTACGTCGGAAAAACGTTTCGGGCATTCCCAATTGTATGATTTTCAGCCTACAAAGCGTTTGGACATCACCCCTGTCAATTTATAGTTAAGAATCCCAATCAACGCTGAGAAAGGACGTAGCGTCATCAATAATGTTAACTTAATATTGCAAGATTTAAACAGAAATTGAATGTGAACGAAAATTGTAGACGGTCGTGGATTAAGGATAGGTGCTGAGTAATATACGTTAGACAAGTCAACAATTTAAAGTAAATGGAATTTGAAAAAAGTTAGGGATCGACAAAGGGACACGCTTTCACACTAAATGGAAAAATGCAAAGAAACAGCTGACAGAAGAAGAGGTTTTAAGTGACTCACAACTAAAGAAAATAAGGGTACAGCAATTTGTTTTCGTGTTTATACATTTATTGAGTGTTTAAATTTGGGTTGTAAAATGAAAAAGCAACCTTGTCTGTGGGCTGATAAGAGATGGGGAGTTTTGCTGTTTTTTCATAGGAATTTTGCGTTGTATTACTGCTAATGTGTTTTCAATTTATTTTTGTTTTTCGTAATTATCTTGTCTGTATTTATGATTTTCGAATCTAAAATGTTTCATTAAGCAACGAGTAAGAAGAAATTAGAGAAAGAGAAAACGTCATTGCTTTAAAAGAGATTAATTTTTTGCTGTCCTGAGTGGATGAGTAGGGAGCTTTCGATTTGTGCGACGACGCGACGGTAGAACGGAATCGCTCATGCGTGACCGTCCGACCTGGCGACCTACGTTCTCTGCATACGTATATTTGGCCAATTTGCGTTCCAGAATCTACTCGACGAGGTGACCTTAACGTTCTCGCGGATGACTTAGTGACGTCACTAGGTTCTACGCCCTACCGTCGTCGTGCAATCGAAATCTCCCTAGTGGATGGCTGCGACAGTTCATACAACTGATGGAAACGCTCACACATAATGGAGCTATTGTGCGGTATACGCATCAAACCTAATATATATAAATAATAACAGTACTCGAAATAATAACAGAATTTTATAATAATCATCAAGCATAGTCCTACAACGGAAGTTTGAATTGTATGGCGGGACTCGAACCCGGTAGACGAACAAATCTTAACCCTTTCCAGTCGTATGGCGTCGCGACCACGCCCTGTTTGACCATACTTTATAGCTATGTTTGCCCTCTATATGATTGTTTGAGAGTGATGTAAGCGTATTTCTGTAGAGAACCTCCTGTATTTAGACCAAGTAAAATGCCTGCACCCAGTAAAAAACCCGACATATACTGTAGATGATGTAATTTCTCAGGTTTTACAGCCTTAGGAAATGGGGCAGACTGAAAGGGTTAACAGATTCGAATTTTTTGAAAAGAAATACCGGAACAGTAGAATGCAACTCCTATATCATATGTCTATATTGTATAAAACATTATATATTTGTTAGTATTGAATTATCTGGTGACACTAGACCACGGAGGCTTCATGGTTGAACAGATTCAAATACCACCAGATACACTCTATTACACAATAGGTGCATATAACATAAATTAAGATAGTCGTTAACACTGTTAAATCATATATAAATAATCAAAGTAAGGTAAATACAGTGTTGTAACAAAGGACTTAATAATGCATCGTGGAACATAGTCCTCAACGAATGCAGTCCTGTAAATAAACAAATAAAGAAATTGTGTAATAAAATGCCTCTGGCGGGACTCGAACCTGCGACTTCTCGCTGTCAAGGCGAGTGTCATAACCACTAGACCACGGAGGCTTCATGGTTGAACAGGTTGAAATACCACCAGATACACTCTATTACACAATAGTCTCTTATACACATCTAGATGTGTATAAGAGACAGGCAATATAGGTTGAATTTTTTTTCAATACATCGTGTAGCATAGCTCTCAACGAATGTAGTCCTGTAAATAAATGAATAAAGAAATTGTGTAATAAAATGCCTCTGGCGGGACTCGAACCTGCGACCTCTCGCTGTCAAGGCGAGTGTCATAACCACTAGACCACGGAGGCTTCATGGTTGAACAGGTTGAAATACCACCAGATACACTCTATTACACAATAGGTACGACTAGTCGCAGGTTCGAGTCCCGCCAGAGGCATTTTATTACACAATTTCTTTATTTACAGGACTGCATTCGTTGAGGACTATGTTCCACGATGCATTATTAAGTCCTTTATTACAACACTGTATTTACCTTACTTTGATTATTTATATATATATATATATGTATATATATATATATATAGGCCTATATGTTATTATAATGTATTAAATGGAGGTCACCCTTAAAGTTCTTCGAACTTATTTGACCTCCATCCAAAAAAATGTTTATTTTAATCTTATTAAGTACTGTACATTAATTTTGCCTATATTGTATGTTCAACTGTATATGATTTGATTTGTGTGAAAAATCAAACTTAAACAAACAATCATCATCATTATCACCACCACCACCACCAATATTTTCATTATCAATATCGTCATCATTATCATTAACAAATCATCGTCGTCTTCATTTTACCTGCCTGTTAGTGGCAATGATTCGCTTTTGGTTTGGAATAAATAAATAACTAAATAAATAAATTATTGTCAAACATTATCATTTCACCATCATCAGCAACTCGTCATCATCTCATAATCAGTATTAGTGTTTCTTCTTTCGTGTGAGTTGGCGTATCGCACGTACGTTTGTTACAGATTGCGATTGTGTCTCATATAAGAGCCATTAACATTGAGTCGGAAATAATCAAAGTACGGTAGGCCAGGGTAGGCGTAGGCCCTAGTTCCCACTTTTAAAAAGACTGTTGCAGCGCAACGTACGCAACACAACGTAAAAAAAACCGCTCTTCCGGCTATTTCGCATCTCCCCCTCCTTACGGAAAGTTGAAATTGTAATAGATTGTATACGGTTACTGTAGCACTCTTAACATCAGAAATCGTTTGTATTTATATATTTTAAAAAAAATTATCTAGGCGTGGCCTAGTATGCTACATTTCTATAGTTACTGAGCAAATTACTGATATCGTGAGCTAGTTGGTTGTCTATAAAACAAAGACCACAAACTTCAATAATCTCGTGATTTTGTAACAGCTTGATGTACTGTATTATCATTAAAATAAAAAAGAAAAACAAATAGGTGTTTTCGTTTTTGAGTCGTCTGTCTTCGACTATAGACCCATCGTGAGCTATTTGTCATACAAATGCAGACACAGTAGTAGGGGGTGTTTCGGCAATTATTTTGGCAATGCTTATGCTAATCCCAGTGTCCCCACTCTCATTTTGGTGATTTTTCAAAACCTCCACACGACTTTGTCGTACAATATACAAAGACAGAGGTAAATTTATCTCATACATAAAATCAGCCTTCTCCCACCAATCAAATCATCTTGTAATGTATTGAAGGTTGCCTATGCCCTATTATTAGTACAATACAGCCGAATCACAACCTATAAAAACACACAGGGCTACATGAAAGCTACAATTCCTTACCTACACAGACAACTTTTCATCAAAGCGTAAATGATATTCATGAAGGCTCGCATGAATATCATGTTTAGAACATGCGCAAATGTGCTTTTCCCTTGCGTTTCCGATCTTGCTTTGCGGAAAGTTAAATCAATTTAACTTTATCCAAACAACGCAAAAGTTGACTAGCGTCAGAAAGTTTTAGTCGTCTGTTCCCAATTGGAAGCTACTACGCCCTGAGTTGCATCACTTTGCGTCGATACATTGCGCCTGCGTCGTTGCGTTGCGTCCTAGTGGGAACCAAGTGTTGCCATGGTTTAGTGGCAGGATATAATTGGCCAAATAGGCTTCAGTGGTGGAGGAGAAGGTGGTTTAATTCGTAGAAATTTACAATATTCTATATACAAGTACTGGGATTTCGCAGTGTCAGATTACTATGGTCACAGGCATATCAAATAACTTAAAATGCATTTATTCACTCAATAACAAAACGCTAAGCATTCCTATGTTAATTTTTATTAAGTGTAATAAGTAAGTTATTAAAAGACAAGCTTACATAAAATAACATTATAGTATATAGTGTATGGTATATGGTATTAGTAGACTAGGTTATTTATAGCGAACATAAAAATATGAGTTTAATAACTACTCTATAATAATAATACATAAAACAAAATCATCAATTCGAATACAATTTGTTTTCGTATTTAACATAGGTAAATCTAACTTCTTAAAACTTACACATTAAAAAAGTGATATGAGAGGATATAAAATTGTACTACTGTATGCCACGGTCATTTAAGTAAATGATTGTAATGTATCAGTGTAACAGAAAATGTATCTGTCTTCTTTATGGCCTTTATAGCCAAGTTTGTAAGTTACGCTTGTCTCATTGCGTATTCATGTTGATCATTATCTACTAATATATATGTTGGTGTGTACACGTATGACTGGTTTAAAGATACTTTTTCGAATTATATATATAAAATATGTACATTTTACCTAACTTAATTTTATTACTTTATTGTATTTTCTTCTTATACAATTTAAAAATCAATCTGGTGTTTTTTAACTGTCACCATTTGTAAACTCATCATTTACTTAGTACAAACTAAGAAATCAGTATGCTGTCAAATTACAACATTTTGTACAACATGCGCATGAAACCAGAAAAACAAAAGGAAAAACAAACCATTAAACTTTAATTGTTTGATTCTAAATACTAAATACACAGAAGCATGAAACGATGTACTAAATTCTAAATCGATACTTTAGAGTATTATATTAATCAGCTTTTTTCAAAGACAAAACACATTGCTTTGCTGTTGGTCGTTCCGTTGGATTTCTAACCCAACACTTCAACATTAACTCCTGCAATGTGTGTGAAAGCTTCAATCCATCAACGTCGGGCTTATGATCACCATCTCCAATATGCTTCTTCAATTGATGAGCATTATAATCATCAAAAGCCTCTTCACCGCTAAATATTTCAAACATGACGAGACCAAACGAATACACATCTGCAAACACCATTCCTTTTGTGTCAAGAAATTCACCACGTAGAACTTCGGGTGCCGAATAGCGTGGAGTGCCAACCTCTTTCACCAGATCTTCCGCCCTGGCAGAGCGCGATGAGTCAGCGTAGTTTTTCATCTTGCTCAATCCAAAATCAGTAATTTTCACTTCGTGTTTGTCTACGTCGTCACCAACGTTGATCAGTACGTTAGTCGGCTTCATGTCGCAATGTGCAACATTCTCTGAATGCAGGTAAACCAAACCATCTGCAATTTCCATTGCGATGAACTTCTGATCCTCATCGCTGAATTGGTGCTGTTCAATGTGCAGTTTGTCGTACAGACTCCCTTCCATGAACTCCATTACGATGCACAGATTTGGTGTTGTGATACATGCGCCGTAGAAAGTAATGATATTCTTGTGCTCAAGTTTACAGAAGACTCGAACTTCCTCTTCGAACTGAGACAGCTTCTTCTGACTTACACGCTGGACGCGTAGCTTCTTAACGGCAACTTCTTTACCCTTTAGTTTGGCGTGGTGAACATCACCGAAACCACCATGTCCAATTATCTTTCCAATTTGAAGGTCACTGAACTGAATAACTGGACCTTCGTACCACTCGAAGGGCTTTTTAACAGGAGCCCGCTCAATAAGTGGACCTTCGTACAACTCGAAGGGCGTTTTAACAGGAGCTTGTTCTTTTTCTTCTTTCGATAACTCCAGGCGATTGAACATCTCTGTCAGACGCTGTTCCAGCAATTCATCAAGATCATCTGCTGTGAATGGTGGGTGAAACTCTTCATTCTAGATTGAATATGAAAACAAGTTAGAATTGATCATACTCGTATTTAATAATAATTATTTATTTTCATAATAGCGCCAGTGAACAATAAAATCTTCTCACAGCACTTTACAGAATGAAGGGATACAGTACGGTAGCATTTTGTACATAACTATTAAATAATTTTTATTATTTTTAAATTTTTAAAAATTTATTAAATTTTTGACAGAAGGCTTGTGTGTATAAGCCTGATTGAAGAATTATTATAAATCAATAATAATTGGGTAGACCAACATTTCGATGTCTTCAATTATAATTAATTTGGAAATCATCCGAATAAATGTTTGGTAATTATATACAGTAAATTACAATCATAAGTAATGCTAACTAATAACAAAAACTACAAAAANNNNAAAAAAAAAAAAAAAAAAAAAAAAAAAAAAAAAGCAGTAGTATCATCAGCAACACAGACACAATAAGTAATAATAAAAATAATAATTACAGTAATTAAAATACAATCGTCTCTCCAGAAGTGAAATTATTTATCAGGTTTATGGGAATCAAATGCAATCAGGCACATAACATTACCACACATCATGACAGAAAAAACATAAAAATTATTTCTTATATACGTACTGGGTTATACATGTGGTGATTGTAAGCCTCTTGCATATAACGGGTTGCAGTGTTCTTCGATGATACCGGCATACTACCAAAAGGTTCATTAGCTCTACCTAGTTTTCTATTCATTGCGTTGTCAGCATACAGCTTTGGTTCTGGCTTCACAGTGCCTTGCGTCTTCCTAATATCACCACTCATGACTGTTTTGGAGTCTTTGGATATTGGCAAACTTCCGCGTTTCATTCCAACTCTACCAACACTACGGTTGTAGGCATTATCAACGTATACTGAACTCGAAGCAGAACTTGTAGAACCTTTAGAGACCGACATGGTACCGTGTTGCATCCCAACTCTACCCAAGCTTCGGTTGTAAGAGTTATCAACGTAGGTTTTGGTAGATGCTGAACTTGAAACACTACCAGAGCTAGTTGAGCCTCTCGAGACTGGCATGCTTCCGCGTTCCATGCCAACTCTCCCCAAGTTACGATTGTAGGAATTGTCGACGTAGGTATTGCATGCAGAACTTGAAGTACTGCCAGAGCTACTTGAGCCTTTTGAGATCGGCATGCTTCCACGTTCCATACCAACTCTACCGACGCTACGGTTGTAAGAATTGTCGACGTAGGTAGGCCTATTAGTTGCCCCAGAACTACTAGCACATCCACTACTTGCACCACCGTGTGACCTACTTGCACCCCCACCACCACCACCACTTGATCTTCCTCCGCCACTAGATCGTGATACCGGAGCACTGCCCATGGGCTTACCAACCCTACCCAGACTTCGATTATACGAATTGTTAGCGTACGATGTTCCGCGAGGCATTTTGATCACAGAAGTTTGACTAAATTCCAAAAGAATCTGCCTACCTGAAATTATAAACATATAATAATAAATTCACAATTGTTAAATTGTTTAGCGTAGACCTTACATTTCCAAACACAGCGACTTAAAATAATTATACGGGTATTGTGTCTCAGGAGCATTACCTGATTCCATCTCAAATCATTCAAATCCTTTCATTTCATTTCATTTATGATTTTCATTCAATATAAAACACAAATAAAGACACAAGCCTGAGGATAACTAAAGCAAACTTAATTATTATCGAGAGGCTCCCCAATCGGAAACAAGACAACAAACACATAAAAATAGTAAGCTTAAATACAGACAATGATAAAGTACCGTACAGAATAATATTAACATTTAAAAATGCAGTCAGCACTCATTTATGAATGCAGAGACAAAATAGACCATGCGCATAAAGTAGTTTGTTCAAGAACCAGGGACGTAGCCAGGATTTTGAAAGTGGGGGGGGGGAGCCGTTATGCGAATTACGTATGACCCCGGCGGGGTCAAGGGGCGGGCGAATCCCCCTGTGAAGTAGCGCACCCTGAACGTTCTTAGGACTGTTTGAGAGGATAAAGTGAAAATTGCAATAGACGCATTTTAAATAAGCGCAAAAATAATTATATAATAAATCAACAGTGGCAGATCCAGGAATTCGAAAGAGAGGTGTACCATAGAGGGACTTTCACAGACCGAGGAAGCACCCACCTCAGCTCCACCATGGTTGGGGCTGAGGTAAGAAAATATGATTATGCATCTCTAGATGGCCGGAAATTACACTCTCGCACTTCAATTTGAATATATTTTTCCTTTGAATCGAATTGGGGCTTTGAATCGACCTCTGCTCAAAACATTCTTTATCCAGAATAGTCATAATCACGAAAAATATACATGAAAAACCAGATCACATTCTAAAAACAAACAGCAGTCACTAAGACATACATCAGGAGCCGACTGGATGGAGTTTAATGTCATACCCAGGGAAGGGCACAAATCTGTTTTGAAAGGTGGAGGGGGAGGGCATTTTGTGAGTCGACACCCACCTCAACCCCACAATGGTTGGAGCTGAGGTGAGAAAATTTGAGGAAATAGTACCTCTAGATGGCCAGAAATTACATTTTAGTAAAATTCATCACCATCACATCACCATTAGTCAAAATGAAGCGCCAAAAAAAATCTCACGATCTTTTATCAGCGATTTTTGACAACCATAGAGATCTTATTAATGTATGTGTGTATCCCATAGAAAA